CCAAGGGTAGGAAAATGCCCAGCCCATTCCTGATTTCCATGGCCCGTGAGTTTGTGAACCATGCGACATTCAACCAGATGTTGTCACTGGAGGTTCGATGGCAGCAATTTCCCTCTCCACCCTTGAGCTACAAGGGAGACGTATGGTAGAGGCTGTTTAGCTGGTGGGAGTTTTCTTTTATTCAGGTCGTGGACCCCACACTGGACACACAATGAAAGGGAATATCGAATACATCATCTTCAATATAACCTTTCTTGCTTCCTTCCACAATTAATTCACTGCAGATCTATTAATTGAGCAACAAATTTTCAGTCATCAATGACTTATTAAAATTTAACTATAGGAATATTACTCAGCCTTAAAAAAAGAAAGACATCCTGGCACGTGGTATAACTTGATTTAACCTTGAGGACATTAAGCTAAGTGAAAGAAGCCAGTCACAAGAAGACAAAACTGTATGATGCCACTTACACGAGGTATCTAGAGTCGCCTAATTTACAGAGACAGAAAGTAAAATGGAGGTTGTCAGGGGCTGGGGGCAGAAGGAATGGGGAGTTATTGTTTAATGGGTGCAGAGTTTCGGTTTTGCAAGATGAAAAGTTCTGTAGACTGGTTGCACAAAACATGAGTGTATTTATACTATTGAATTGTCTATTTAAAAATGATTAAGATAAATTTTATGTTTTGTGTATTTCACCACTATTTGACTTTATTTTATTGTATTTTATTTTATTTTATTTTATTTTAAGTAGGCTCCACCCCCACATGTAGCCCAATGCAGGGCTTGAACTCATGACCCTGGAATCAAGACCTGAGCTGAGATCAAGAACCAGACACTTCATCAACTAAGCCACCCAAGCACACCCACAATTATTTTTTTAGTTTAACTGGTTACATGATTAGTTCAATAATCACTCGGCAACTCAAGGGCAACCAATAAGTGTGAATTCTCACCATATCCTTCTCCTCCCCAAGCACTCCTCTCCCTTTAATGCCAGATGGGTCTTGGGCTTTTGGAATCCTGAACAAATATTCCTATTTGTGTTGCTCTTTTGACACAATGTGACCTCTAAAGTATCAATGAATGCCCTTGTTCTTGGCTTCCAGCCAAATCTTTACCATATATTTGGCTACCTATATGTTCATTTCATTGAACGGGCTAGTCTATTACCAAACAAGTATCTCTGAGGACAGCTTATGTATCAGTCATTCACATAACAGATGGAAGCGTTCATCATCGGGATTTCTCTCTAAGATAAACACAAGGAAGGGATTTTTGAATAAGAGAAGAGAGGGCAAAGGAGAAGAGTGATTTCAGAACCCGTTGGTTGGAGGAAGAAAGATCTAGAATGGGCGCCACCATCAGAATGGGGGAACAACGGCATTGAACAATAAGAGGGCAGCAAAAAAACAAAAACAAAAACAAAAAACAATAAGAGGGCAGCAGAGGGCACCCAGGGCTTGAAGCTAATCAACCTGGGGAGAGGAGACAGAGGGACACCCAACGAAAGGGAATATCAGAAACATTTCATAGATAGGAATTTTGTCAAGTTCAGCAGCACTCTTACATAGTTCACACACTGGCATCTGCCCTGGAGAAATGGAGAATCATTCCCCAGCCACTCTAGTCCACATGGGTTTGCCACAGAAAGAAGGGCCTGGGAGCTCCTTTGAAAGGGAGGCTCACCATCCAGCAGCCTTGGTTAAACTGTGTCTGAGGTGGAATAGAGGGAATTCTTAAGAGGAAGGGAGGAGACTGAGGGACCCCTGGGCACTGGCGAGGAGGAATTAGACCAATACTGCCCTTCTCTCTCCTCCAAGAGGCTCAGAGTCCTTCATAGGTGCTAATCAATTTAACCTCATTGGAGCCCAACGTGGACCTTCCCAAGGACACAAAGGAAAACAGAGTAAAGAGGCAGCTTTCCTCACTCATATTCACTACATAGGCTCCTACCCTTCACCAAGACCTAACATCCCAACCAAAGCCACACCCATTTTTTTCTGGGGCTTACCTGCTAACACCTCTAAATGCAAACGCAGACACTCATCTCCCACAAGCCACATGGCATCTGGGCGAGGGCCGTCTGTTCCCTCAATTCCCAAAACCTTGCTAGGGGAACAACAGTCCCCCTAGTGTGACAGGTGGGCAAAGCCACTTCTAACCAACCATACATTAACAATACCTTATAAATGCAGATTCAGGGGAGGAGGGTGGATGCAGGTCAGGGGCCCTGGGGTCCACTCACTCTCCTCCTCTCTGTGTGCCAGGGCTTCAGACAGGAATGCACTGAGATGCTGGCAGTCACGTTGCTCATTAGCTGAACATTAAGTGATGACTACTCGAGCCAATCAAAATCATGGGCCCAACAGTGCTTTTAAAATCACCATTATTACACACACACACACACACACACACACACACACACACACACCTTTTCTCTCTTATATAGACATGAAATATTCAACCCCTGTTAGTACTGATCCTGGTAAGTGCTCTTAATCATGAGTGAAAATAATCCCTTATGTGATAAGGAAAGACTGAGTGAAAATTCAGGAGAAGCTGCACAAAAAAATAAAAAAAAATAAAAAAAATAAATAAGCCAGAATCACCCTCTGTTGCTAAAAACTGGGCAACTAAAGCAAATGTGGGTTTGCAGAGGCCAAAAGTGGCTGGGATCTTGATTGGGTATGTCCTCTTCGAATCTCCTCTTCCATGCACACTAGGTTTACAATTTTGAATTTTTACTAAAGTCAGGAAGTGTTTGGGGCACTTGGGTGGCTCAGTCGGTTAAGTGTCCAACTTCAGCTCAGGTCATGATCTCGCCGTTCACAAGTTCGAGCCCCGCTTCGGGCTCTGTGCTGACAGCTCAGAGCCTAGAGCCTGCTTCAGATTCTGTGTCTCCCTCTCTCTGTGCTACACACACACACACACACACACACACACACACACACACACGCTTGTGCTCTCTCTCTCTCTCTCTCTCTTAAAAACAAATAAAATCAACACAAAATCAGGGAGTGTTCAAACAAGAAGCTCATAATCAAACATCTAGGGTTCTAAATGGACAAGAAAAGAGATGTGTTATTCAACCCAGTGAAACTTTGCCTTTCAAACGTGAGTTTTAATTCACTGCCATCATTATAAGGATGGCCATTCTCAACCTCTGCCCCCTAATCAGCCATTTTTTTTTAAATAATCCCTCCCTTATCTCAAGGCATTTTTCTGCTCCCTTTAGAACATTAGAATTACCAGCACAACTTGTTGAAGATAAGAATACTCACACAACCATGTTTTATGCATTATGATCATGGTTTGGCTCTCATCTAATGTATTCACATGGAAAAGAATTTCACACTCACTCACCTTTCAGCATAACTTACATTATTCGAAACTTTTGCTTCAGTTGTCTGATCACTGGGATTCAAGTGAGTTATTTGGATTAGGTGCTTCAGGTTGACTCATAGTGAAATATGGATATCAGAGGACAGAGCCGAGGGAGGAGGACTCAAGTAATTAATTGCCCCACCTTTTGAAAATGACAGTAAATGGCTTATCTTTCCTAGAACTGGTACAATAAATGTCAAAAGCTGCAAAATTCTGTGCTGGGTCAGGAAACGTTCTGGCCATTATCTCCAACTCTTAATTGTTCTCCATGCGTTCACCGTCAGCACACAACCTGAATATCAAGTAAATGCTTGTGGAATTGCTCAGTGAATATGCATAGACCACTCCCAATGACTCTGAAAGCCCCTTAAGAAGAAATCACCTTGAACTTTCTATAGCTAACATTCTCCCTGCCCCAAAAGGCAAGGCACACAATAGGTATTCAGTAATCAATCACTGACTGATTTCTCATCTTCACCAGTGGGCATGGGAGAGAAACAAAAAACAAGTGTTGAAACATTTCACACTGGAATTTATCGCTTGAGAAATTAAGAATGTGGAGGGAAAATGCACAAGTGTGAAGGTCACCCTGATAAAGAAAAAATGTGGTGCGAGAAGACTACAGTACTTAAAATGCACACTGTTCATAATTGCCAGAGATAACGAATATTTTCTATATTTTGCCAAATTGGTCTTCTTTGTTTCTCCATTAACACGTATAGGGCGTCTAATGCATCTTTGGCAATCTATTCAAACTGTTGAGGGATTTTTTTTTTCCCTTTTCTTTTCTTTTCACCCTTTGAACATAAACCACTAAGTCTCCATCCCCAAAGCACCTCCCAAATAGCGGCGGGGGTGGGGGATGCGCTCTGGGAAGCCCTTGCTGAGATACTTAGCGGAACTTTGTTCTCCACATGGGCTATTTACGAGCGTCTCGGTTTCCTTGGGTGACTCCACAACCTCCCCCTTTTCACGCGGCGAGCAGGAGTCAGGGCGGTGAGATCCTCCCAGGCGGAGCGCGGAGGCGCTGACCATGGTCCTGGCCTCCGAGCTCAGGACTGGAGCACCGAGGGCGCCGGAGATGAGACGGTGCGAGAGCGAGCAGGGCGAGGCGGAGAGAGGCTGTCGAAGCCCCCGCCCCTCCCGAACCCCGGGGAGCTTTCGGGCCTGCACGCGAACCCTCCACTGCACGCTCCGAGATGCATCAAAAAAGGGTGGGGCACCCAGCCACAACTGCAATCGGAAGCCGCCCGGAAGGATTTAAGAAGAATGGAATCGGTTCATGCCTCCCTCCCCCCACTACCATGCGCCCCCCAACCCGGCATCGGTTCATATTTTACCCCCGCCCCCCACCTCCCAGGCCGAGGGAGGCGCGGGCAGCCTTTGTGGGCGCACAGCCGCCCACGGCCGAGCCCGAGCCTCTGGGCACCCTGCACCGAGAAGGGGCAAGTAGGGCGGGGTGCATGTACAGATTCAAGGATGCAATATTCCTGCGAGGCAGGACGGTGGGCACGCTGGGATGACCGGTTCTCCACCGAGCTGGAAAGGGGGCGAAGGAGGGGCGATCCCCGCGTCTGGTCCTGAGTCTCAAACACCCCCCACCCCCCATACCAACCTGGTCGTAGATGTTCTGCAGGGCTTCCTTGCCCGAGGCCCGCCGGATCTCCACCTTCCGGCTCGATTCAACAGATGGCTCCCCGCCGGCGCGCCGGCCCTGCCGGGAGTACGGCGGCTGCGGGTCCGGGCCCAAGTGGGCGACGTCCCGCTGCTGAGCCACCACCTGCCCCGAGCCCCGGCCCACGGACAACGAGTCGAAATCGATGGTCTTGTTCTCGGAGGACCCTTCCACCGGGCAGAACATGCCACAGAATTTCTGCCGGGGCTTAGGGCTGCCTGAGCCCAGGTTTTTAAAAAAGGCAGGGACTTCTTCGTCCTCTGCCGCCTTCCCGGATTGCTTCCTCTCGGCCATGGCGCGGGAGCTCGGGGAGGGTCCGCTCTGTCCGTCCGTCCGTCTGCCGGTCCCTAAGTCGGCCTCTCTCTGTGCACAAACCCCCTGGCTGCTGCCGCGGCTGCCGCTCTCTGCCTGCCGCAAGGTGTACAGAAAGGAAGGAGGGCTGGCGAGCGAGCGAGCGACCCACCCCTCCCGGTCCCTCCCTCTGACCCCGCTTTCTCCCCTCCCTGCCCACGCCCCCCGCCGCCGCTCCGGCTCCAGCGACCAGCAAAGTTGGGTCTGGGAGGGCGGCCGCTGCGGCAGCGGGAGCGAAGAGGCTGCCAGTTCCCGGCAGCGGCGGGAGGAGGGAGGCGCGGGCGGGGCGGGGGCGGGGCGCGGCGCGGCGCAGGGGAGGGGAGGGGAGCCGAGCTCCGGGTAGTGAGGGGAAGGCCCCGCCGCCTAGAGCCCCGCGCTCCGGAAGTGAAGCGGCCAGACCACCCGCTAATGGATGCGAAGCGGAGGGTCGGCTGACCGATCTCTGCGCCAGGGTAAGTATGGGGCAGGGCACGCAGGGGCGAAGGCCGGGGGCGCGGCCTCTGGACTCCACGCCCGTCGCCCCCACCTGCCTGGCCCAGGACCCTCTCCCCCACCGCATTGCAGAGGTGGGCCAGGTGCGAGGGCCCACCCGAGGGAGGACCCCCACCCCTCAGCGAGGGTGTGAGCTAATGGATGGGGCAACAGGGACCAACCGGCTGACGCCTGGACACCCAGGAGGAGGGAAAGGGGCAGCACTGACGATGGGGAAGGGATGGCGCAGACCGTTTGGAGAGGTGGAGGCCTTACGAGGCAGGGGGCACCAAACCTTGTTCACCCACGGGCCTTGTGGTGGGCTGCTGTGGGCAGAGATTGAAACGAGAAGGTTCTCGCTGCGCCCACAGTGGTGGGGGTGGGGGGCGCTAGCGGGCGGGGAGAAATGCAGAGGGGCGTAGCAAAGGAGAGGGGGGAATAAAGACTTAGGTGTGTGGTCTGGGACTGTAACAAAAAGTGCATTCTGCAAATTCGGGCACCGAACGGCGACTTGAAGTAGGAAAGGGTAGAGACCTGCTATATTGCCCGGAGGTGTCACGTCTCTTAACTGCGCCACTGCGCCAAGACCAAGAAGGGCCAGAAGAGTCTTGATTTGGTATTGTCTGCCCCGCCTTCCCCGCCAAAAAAAAAAAGGGGGGGGGCCAGGATTGAATCCCACTCCCCCAAATCCCCAGCCCTTCTGGGCGCCCTGCACGCCCCACCTAGATCCCCGCCCTGGTTGCGCACTGCGCCACAGCCGCGGGGTTTCCCGGGTTGCCAGACGCCAAGTGCCTGGGACGTAAATTGCGCGCGCGCGAATTCAGTGGTGGAGTAGGAGATGGGGTCCTGTCTGTGGTCATGGCTTGAGTTGTGAGACGCCCCACCGGGAAAGGGTGTGTGGGACTTGGTATGTATGTGAGGCTGAACCATCCACAGCTACTGGGTTGGTGGGCAGATAAGGGGCATTTTGATTTATGCCGGTAACACCGTCTCTGAGAGTCTTTTATTGCTTATTTCTGTCCCCACGTCCCTTCCACGTACCAATCCCTGCCCCTGGTCGATTACAGCCCCGCCCTCTCTTTCCACAGTGGCAAAATCCTGCAGAAATGATGCCCAACCCTTGGCGGCTGGAGACGGAAATCTGGGCATGCTCAGTAACTAGGGTGGGTTTGGGCTAGGAGAAGCTGTTTCTACCACAAGACTATAGCTCAGAGCAAGGCTCTATCCTCATCATCAGCCCTTGTCCCTGGCAGGATTCAGTACGGATACCCTCCCCCCAAATCGTGAGGGATACTTCGGTGAATGGAGTTAAATTTGGAGGGCAATCAATCACAGTTTGAAGATGAGCCCATCATGGCAGGTGGGAAGGTGGCCCCAGCTGAGAACTGGAGACTGAGGGAGGAGAGGAATGTCTGGCGGGCCGGGGGGGGGGGGGGTGCTGAGGGAACCAGAGGCGGGCCTTTGGACTTTGCGTCAGATGTGCTTCGCATTTGAATGAACTGCTTCCACAAGAATGACATCATTGCCTACCCAGGGCAGACCCATGACTCCCATGACTCGTGACCGATTTCCGGAGCAGGAACCAGACTTAGAGAGATTGGGGCGCTTTGACCAAGGTCACTATCTAAATGAGCCAAGAATTACAGCAGAAAAGCTGATTCCTTTTCCAACTTATCCCATCTTTACTTGAGAAAATGCAAGAGTTTTACATTTTTCTCATGTCCGATTATTTCCATTGCAGGTAAAGATTGCCTTTGGAAGAAGAAGCCACCCAAAGGTAGCCTAACCTCAGCATGACCTCTATTATGTAGACCTTGGGATGTGTCTTCCTGCCTTTTTACATCTCATGTTTCCTCTCAACATTAAAACAGGAGGAAGGTTACCCCCATATCTTAGAAGGGAAGGGGTGGCATGGAGAAACCCCTGGGCTCCGATCCCTGGGGCTGCTGGCTGAGAGCGGAATCCAGGGTTTGTGCTCCTGCCCCTTTGGCACCTTCCAGAAGGTCTTAGAAAACGTGCCTGCAGCAGGAGCAGTTGACATTAAAGCTGTAGGCTGGCATCTGTGGCATATGGACCCCGTTTGGACTGAGGGGGATTCTTCAGGCCGACAGAAGCATATTCGTAGCCCATTAACACACACTCCACGGCAGTAACTGGGAGACGGTAGGAAGCCTTTCCTTTTTGCGTCACCCGGTGTCTACCACTGTCCACAGATGTGCTTCCTCTCTTACCTTGTGCTCAAATGACTCATTCAGGCGTAAGTGCTAGGAAGCATTTTTAACATTCACAGCAAAAGAAACACCTCGTTGTGCATTTGCGAGGCCTGCCCAGACCTAACGAAAGAGAATGGATTCATAATTCCAAGCTTAACTTATTTGGTCCTGAGATTTTGTTTTGTTTTGTTTTGTTTTGTGTTAGATTGCTGGACCTAAATTGGTATACCTATATTATTATGTTATGTTAAAGTGTAGTATATGTTATATTGTTATATCTATATTAAATTGGCTTTTAATGTTTGAGTGATTTCTAGCTTGATTTTAAATAATTGGATGTTAAATCAAAGGAATGCACCAACTCAATATGGTTTGGTAGATTTAATTAAATTGTAAAGGAGTGTCATGTTTTTAAATCATTTTAACAGCCCTCATCACTGGATGTTATCAAGCCATAAATAAATACTATTATTATTTATGTGTAACAGGGGAGCTTGGCTTGGCTGGAGCTAAGAAAGACCCAAACACATCCATTGCGTGGAGCTGGGTGACATCTTCCTTTTCTGGAAGCTGAATACATAAGCTGGTGACTCTCACAGGACAGTTGGAGCGCCTGAACAGGTATCTGTTCACATCTGATTTCATTTTTCACATGGGGAAAATCTTGAGTCCTGTCCATCCATAACCAGGGCTCAGACGTTAATTGGCATGACTGATGAGCGGAAGGTGGGGGAGCCAGATGTGGGAGGGTCCCCAAGAGAACTCTAAGCAAAGAAGAGGTCTGACAGAGTGGGACACGTGCAAATCCAACGTGAGACGGAAGCCCTGGTCTCCCCCCACTTCTGTCCTGAACCAAAGCACAGTGCTTCCTGGGAAAGAGAGGGCTGTGTGGTAAAACTGACCATTGTTTCACTAGGAGTCCAAGCCTGCTGTGACACTTCTCTCCGGGAGTTCTGGGTGCCAGAGTGGAGGCCTTACCCCGCTAGCTAGCAAAAGGAGAGGTGAGGAGAGGCAGCAGAAACTGGGGGAGTCACAAAAGCAGCTCTTGCAGGTGCCTCGGGCAGTCGGAGAAGGGTCAGTGCCACTGTGTGGCTGCCAGCGTCGGGGAGAGCATCAGCGGCCACCGGACTGCAGAGCCACAGGCAGTGATGCTGTCCTAGCTGAGTTCTTGCCCCTGGGCAAGTAAGGGTGATTGGTCCAGAAGACTTTGGGGCCGCTGTTGGAGTGGCCTGGGACGCATTCCCTGGTGGGGTGCAAGTTCAGGAGCTGAGCCAGGATATTCTGAGTCCTGATAGGCAGTGCCTGTCCACACCACAAACTAATCGGTACCCATAGAGTTGGAGCAAATACTCGGACGATGGCGCTGGCACTGTTAGAGGACTGGTGCAGGATAATGAGCGTGGATGATCAGAAATCGCTGATGGTTCTGGGGATACCAGTGGACTGTGATGAGGCTGAGATTCAGGGGGTTCTCCAGGAGACTTTAAAGTCTCTGGGCAGGTATAGGCTGCTCGGCAAAATATTCAGGAAGCAGGACAATGCCAATGCTGTCTTACTAGAGCTTATGGAGGATACTGATGTCTCGGTGATCCCCAGTGAGGTTCAGGGAAAGGGGGGTGTCTGGAAAGTGATCTTTAAGACCCCTAACCAGGACACTGAATTTCTGGAACGACTGAACCTCTTTCTGGAAAAAGAGGGGCAGACAGTCTCCGGTATGTTCCGAGCCCTCGGGCACGAGGGGTTGTCTCCAGCCACGGTGCCCTGCGTGTCCCCAGAGTTACTGGCTCACGTGTTGGGACAGGCGATAGCTCATGCCCCTCAGCCCCTGCTACCCATGAGATACCGGAAACTGAGAGTATTCTCGGGGAGCGCCGTGCCCGCCCCAGAGGAAGAGCCCTTTGAAATCTGGTTGGAACAGGCCACTGAGATCGTCAAAGAGTGGCCGGTAGCAGAGGCAGAAAAGAAAAGGTGGTTGATGGAAAGCCTGCGTGGCCCTGCCCTGGACCTCATGCATATAGTGCAGGCAGACAATGCAGCCATAAGCGTGGAAGAGTGTTTGGAGGCGTTTAAGCAAGTGTTTGGAAACCTGGAGAGCCGCAGGACCTCCCAGGTGAAATACCTGAAGACGTACCAGGAGGAGGGGGAGAAGGTCTCCGCCTACGTGTTGCGGTTAGAAACCCTGCTCCGGCGCGCCGTGGAGAAACGCGCCATCCCCAGGAATATCGCAGATCAGGTCCGCCTGGAGCAGGTCATGGCCGGGGCCAGCCTCAGCGAAGTCCTTTGGTGTAGGCTGAGAGAACTGAAAGATCAAGGGCCGCCTCCCAGCTTCCTGGAGTTAATGAAGGTAATCCGGGAGGAAGAGGAGGAAGAGGCCTCTTTTGAAAACGAGAATATTGAAGAGCCAGATGAAGGGGATGGCTATGGCCCCTGGGATAACGAGACAGAGGACTAAAAACCATCTCAGGGCGGGACCCACAGCCAGTGCGCCCCGGGGAGGTTTGCTGTACCCCGCTGAGACCACGTGGCTATTTTTGTCCGAGGCCTCGGCGCCAGGTCTTGATTCTTCTTTCTAAGAAAAAATACCAGAGAGTTTCTTGGGCCCTACGTAGATTATTAATAAAGGACGAAGTTCCAAGTAAGGAATAGGAAGCCTGAAGGAACCCGCGACATTTCCCGTTTCCCAAATAGACCAAAGTCGTGCACCCATACAGCAGAAGAAAGAAGTGATGCAGGAAAAGAACACCTTTTGTAATCTGTTTAACCTCTAACCCCTTTGACTCCTCGGCTATGTTCCTTCCTCAAATCAGCACATCCCCTCTGAGTAGCCAGCCGTGTGAGGCACTCTTCACCGAGGTGAGAATCGTAACCCCACAAGCCTGGGCCATGCTCTCGGAGCGAGCTCACCGGCTCACCGAGGACATGACCTCGGCATGTGAGACGCTAGATAATCCCGGGTGTCAGTCACGACACCTGTGGAAGTGCCACTACCAAATGAATACGGCCACCCCCACTGCTATGTGTCTTTCTTTCTTCGCTCGGGAAGCACTCCTCCACTTCTCTGCCGTGTGTCGAATGGCCGGTTCCAGGCACTGTGTTAGGCCCTCGAGACACAGACAACTCAGCCCAATCCCTGCCTTCAAGAGAGAGAGCTACGGTGTGAGAGAAGCACTTTCGAGAAAGGGCAGACGCTACAGGAAGGCTGCCTGCGAGGGAGGGTGTGCAGGCCGCGTTTGGATTCAGCGAGCAGACCATTCTGGTTGGAAAAGATTTTTAGGGGTGACCAAAGGGAAAGAGGAGAGGAAAGGAGCCTGTATTTATTGAGGGTCTATTATGTGCCAGCTGGTTTACACACATCTCATTTAATGTGCCCGGGAACCCCAATACGGTATAATTTTGCTCTTTCTGAAAGAGAAAGAAAATGAAGCTCAGATGAGTCAAGTGGGGTTCTCGGGATCGAAACGCTAAGCAGTGGCAGAGCCGAGCCACAAGTCTGGAACTCTCTGCCTCTTGCTAACCCTCTGTCCGCTGTGATGGTGGCTTTCAAATTGTGCTCTACGGTTCTGCAGAGATTTTTCAGCCTGTCCACCTTTAACATGTACTTTAAACTCTCCCGAGCTCTACTAGAAAACAGATAGACTCAAGTGTGTTGATACCCAAATGTTCACACACTGGCACCCAGCCACGGGCTCACTTCTGTTTCCAGATGGACTCATTTTGTGCAGACCATGGAAGTAAGGTCCCCTTGTGACATCTGAGCACATAGCTGGACTTCTCGTAAGCGTTCATAGATTAAGGAAGTGATGGCATCTCACAGGTGTTTAAGTCACGTCCATGCATGTCCAGTGACGTAGTGTGCCCCCGTAGAGCATAAATGAGCACCATTCCGTTAAATGCTAGTTGATCTCGGGGCGCCTGGGTGGCTCAGTCGGTTGGGCGTCCGACTTTGGCTCAGGTCACGATCTCACGGTCCGTGAGTTCGAGCCCCGCGTCGGGCTCTGTGCTGACAGCTCAGAGCCTGGAGCCTGTTTCGGATTCTGTGTCTCCCTCTCTCTGACCCTCCCCGTTCATGCTCTGTCTCTGTCAGTCTCAAAAATAAATAAACGTTAAAAAAAAATGCTAGTTGATCTCTAGCGTCACGATAGCTTTTTGTATACAAAGAACAATTGCTCACCTTCTCTGAACATCAGTTTCCTCATCAGGAAAATGGGAAAATAATAGAATAGGGTTGTCGTTAGGCTCAGATGACATAATGCCTTTGAATCACTTAGCATGATGTCTGGAACACAGAAAGCCTTTAATGCGTTAAGACCCATGATTTTCATGATACTTCCTGTCTGTTCAATGCATGCTGTCTTTATTCTAAGAGTTGTGCCGTAACAAGTAAGTACGGAATCTGTCAGTCAGTTGTGACGACATTGCATTAGGAACCATTTTAGCTACGTTTGAGTGCTTGTTGTCTGTTATCTTTGTGATAAGTATTCCAGCCATTGTTAAAGACTATTGTTAGTGATTTGACTTTGAAACAATAAATTATTCTTTCTGATTTGTGGCTAACTTTAACTGAAGAATATCCTGAGATTGTAAGAAAAGCATTTTTTTTAAAGTTACCATTGGTGATCATTTCGTCCTAAGTTATAATTTTTTTTAATACGGCTCACCAAAGTGATAACATTTGTCATCCAGTACACCCTGATTTCATGGTTTCTTGTAGTCATAAAAATCTCCTCATTGTTCTCAATTATTGACAATATACAAAGTAAAATGTTATAAATGTGAGGTTATAAAATAAACACATGCTAATAAAATTCTGAGGTTTTTTTGTTTCATGTATTATGATTCTGTGTTAGCTATGACTTGAAGAAGGAGTTTCATTAGTTAAAAAAAATATATGATAGGTAAGGTTAGAAAATCAAACCAACGCCAAAAGGTCTTGAACCCTTCTAGATAGGAAAACCTGAGAGCAGAGTGCTGGGATAAGAATACTTCAGCTTTGTCTCCAGGGATGAGAGAGAGCCCAGTCTACCCATCATCAATTTCCCTTGTAAAATACATAGAAACAACAGATGGAGGCCAGTCCCCTCGGAGACCTCCAACTCATTTGCTCAGGCAAGTAACTCCACAGAAGAACAAAACGACCTAGTGGGGAAATGTTGCGTCTCTGGGATGTAGCCAGTTTCCAGCGTGTAGATGTGTAGGAGGAAAATTCCTCTTGCCGTTGACTTTCTTGGAATTGTTTCTTTTCCTCTTTTCTACAGTGCAATGGGGAGGATTCCTCATTGGGCTGTGCGCAGTGCAGATCGGCCTATTACACGATGAGTGTCCTGAGGGATGTCCGACACCCTCTCCCCATCACCAGAGCAAAAACCTCTTAAAAAATTGGTCTTGCCTTATACTTACTATGTCTGTCTCCAGTTCTGACCCTTGGAGACTGAAGCCTCCAAGATTACATAGTCCCCTGCTGAAGGTAACTTTTCACCAGGGCCATTGGCTTCCTCAAGGCCTTAGTATTATCTGACATCCCCATCTATACCAGCCAGTCCTGCCAAGCCTTTCATGCTGTTGTCATCCACTGTCTACCCAGATGCTACCCCAGATGATTATCGGTGCCCTTCCTGTCCATGCTCCCAGTGCTGATCATTAAGGTCCTCCACCATGCCTTCTTGATCCTCCATGATGTCCTAGATGAACTAGCCTGTATCATCGGAGTCCTTGCAAAATACCTCAGCACCATATTCGTTAATTGGATTCTGGTCTTCCTGGTAGCCTGCTGTCCTCAAGTCTCTTGAGTGGAAGCTGCTCAGTCTCCCATCTCAGGAAAGATTGGAGATTGCTGGTGGCATTTAGTTCACCATCATCACCTCCTCACCTGCAAATGCTTTCCTGGCCTAAGCTGACCCCCTCTGCCCCACACCTCCCCGTGGGGCAGTCCTGACAAGCCTGGACAGAGTGTTGGCAAAGCAACACTGCGAGGAGCCTATTGAGGATGGCACCTGGCCAGATGTTATCTATAGTAACAAAAAGTAGGAAGGAAAAGATAATGACTATAAGCCATTATCTAAGGGAGTCCTACAAGTCGAGCCTGGAAAAGCAAAGATGGTTGGAAGCCAGAGTTTGAAAGAGTGGAGCCTGAAATGAAGCATAGAGGTGAAGGAAGAGTGTCTGAGACAGAATTGTCAAATGCACTCAGAATTCGTGCTTTGTTGACCACCAGCATAATCTTTGCACGGTCTAAAGATTCATGATCAGAGCAGAAGACCTCTCCCTCATCCCTTTTCTTTCAGGGTGGGCCAAGGGCTCCTTGAGCTTGCTCAGAGAAGACTTATACTCATTGAGAACTCCTCTCGGGGTGCAAGATGGTGTCCATAGATGGGCTTCTCAGAAGCTAGCCTCCCCACTGTAGCAGGCTCCGGAGCTGTCCCTGGTCCTGACCTGCATTACACAACCTGCTGTGCCCGAGTGGTCCTTGACATTGCGGATGAACATAAAAACTAGAGTAACTCCAGAAGTGGATGCCAAAATCAATTCAATCGTAAGAAAAAAATGGTGTAGGATTTCAATCCATTTTTCAAGACACCAGCTGGAGCTGCCCGTTAATTGTCTGGGGTGCTTTAAGCAGCAGCTGAGACTTTGTCCCCATCTGCCCCACCCCCACCCACTCTTGAAGGGAAAGGTTACCAAAGGGAGGCACAACCCAGACGATGTGGTGGTGCTGAGGCTAAGAGCCTAGGAAAAAGTCCCCAGAGAATGCGGGGAAGGCTCACTTCCATCCCATCTTGTCCCAGACCTGCCCCTGCTCTGCACAGCCTAAAGGCAGTCTCATTGAAGGTCTTCCCTGGATTCTTGGTACAACAGTTTTCCCAACTAACTCAGTTACTAACAGAGCTTTCTTGAAATAATAAGCACTCATCACAAAAGCAAATTTCTAGGATGCCTGGGTGGCTCAGTCAGTTGAGCGTCCAACTTCAGCTCAGGTCATGATGTCGCCGTTCACAAGTTCGAGCCCCACGTCAGGCTCTGTGCTGACAGCTCAGCCTGCTTCAGATTCTGGGCCTCCCTTTCTCTCTGCCCCTCCTCCACTCACACTCTGTCTCTCAAAAATGAATAATAATTAACAAATTTTTAAAAATAAACTTCCTTTTTTCCAGCTTTATTGTGGTATAATTTTCAAGTACAAATTGTGTATATTTAAGGAGTGAAATATGATGTTTGGATGTATCTATAAATTGTGAAATGATCTCCACAATCAAACTAATTAACACAGTCATCACCTCACGTGATTACCATGTGTGTGCTTGAGCAGGCACGTGAGAACACTTAAGATCTATTTTCTTAGCAATAGATGTCAGGTACACAGTATAGTGTCATAATGTTGCACATGAGATGTATAGTCATCACGCTGCACATGAGATCTCCAGAACTTACGCATCCTATATAAGTGCAAGTTTGTGCCCTTTGACCAACGTGTTCCCATTTCTCTCGCCGCCCAGCCCCTGGTAACAGCCATTCTACTCTCTGCTTTCATGAGTTCTACTTTCATAGACTCCGTATGTAAGTGAGATAATGAAGTATTTGTCTTTCTATATCTGGCTGATTTCATTTAGCATAATGTCCTCCAGGCTCACAAATGGCAGGATTTGCTTCTACAAAAGTAAACTCTATACTATAAGTTAACAAAAGCAAAGTAGTGGAAACCAGGTGGGGGAATAAAGACCATTGAGTTCTGCTAACTAGCCGTCACATTGCATTCCCTGGTGAAATCCCATACAAGGGATGGCAAGCCTCTGTTGACACTTGTTGAGCTTGGGAACCCTGCTATCCCAAATAGTAGCTAATGTGGGAAACAAAGGCAGAAGGAAACGGCAGATAAAATTAAATTTCCTTATAACCTGCAGCCCATTGACAAATACTTGAGGCAGGCAGAGCAAGATGTTTCTCCAGCAACTCCCTACTATCTTAATGCTAATGCTTTGCTAGGGGGAGAAACAACCATAGCCTGACCATAACTAGGCCTCCACTATCCTGGAGTCTTCTTTAGCATATGAAAGTCTCATTGGAAACTTCCCCTGGACTTTATCTCCCCCGACTCCATAGTATATAACCAGTCTCTCCTCAGGGTCCCCAGGCAGCTCTTCCTTGCCCACGGGTCCTGTCCCTGTGCTTTAATAAAATCACCTTTTGCACCAAAGACGTCTTCAAGAATTCACTTTTTGCACCAGAGATGTCTTCAAGAATTCTTTCCTGGTCGTTGGCTCTGGCCCCCACAAACCCCACTGTCACCCACAAACGTCATCAGTAGCTAGTAGACATTTTAAAGGTCCTAAATAGACAGGAGCCCAAGACAACAGTAAATGTCCACGACTAGGCGTGCTGCCATCTTGGGGAAAAC